AGTGGCAGTTTGCTTATTGGTGGATTGAGGAGGTGACCGTCTACTGGTAGGAGATGAAAGATCGTTGGAGGGTCCTACCTGGAAATCTTATTACCACTGTCTGCATAAATGTGTAAGATGCTACTAGAGATATGCTGTTTTATGTTAAGAATTACTATAATTTTTTAAAAGATATATTCTGGCATTATCCATATTACTGAAAAGGACTCTGGAAAGAAGAAAACTTCCAGGGAAATAACTATGAAGAAAGGGGAGAAAAGGAGCAATAATATTGGGAACTTAAGGTGGGGTCAGATAGAGACAAATTCTGTCAAATTCATATTTCCGTGTGATTGATTTCCTGGGCAAAAAGGAGACAGGATGCTGCATCCAAGGATCTCTATTCATTCCTTAGAGTGTTTAATTTCACTGCTAAATAAAAAAATTAGCTGGGACACTAGGATCATCATCAGGTCTTCAATTCAGTTAATAATTTTGTGGTTCTAGAAGAAAATGAAACAAAACATTTATTTTAATTTTTGTAATTGTATTATTTTTTATTGCGATAATGTTGGTAAACAATGGCATCCTAGATTCAGAGGTGCAGGTTCACACCTCTGCAGATGTATTTGACCACACCAGACCTACCAGTAAGTGTATCTTATCTAATCAACTGAGCTGTCCCATAAGTACTGACTTGTTTGGGAAGCTGGAAAATCTCCTACCAAACTAACCACTAGACAAATTGCAGAGAAGACATTTGAAACAATGGGGTCGCCTCTCCTTTACCTACAAATGCACATTGCAGATGTGCATTTGCTGCAAACATTTCCAGTCGAGATACTTAATTGTTAAAACGATTGGGCCTATGATTATTTGATTTCATAGCAGCATACTTTAAAAATTGCAAGGAGACTGTTTTACACTACAAACATTACAAAGGACCAGAATTATTCTTGCTAGGCAAGACCACTGGGCTAATATTTGGCTCAAGTGATATGAAAACCTCAAGATGACAAGTAAAACATTTTCTGGGAACCATCTCTCACTCCTTTTCCTGATGAATTGTCATGCCCTTCTGAGAACATAACCCATCAGTCCTCTGAAATAGAGAATCAGATAACCAAGTCACGCTCAGCTGATTTGTCAGCTGATAAATGATGAACTTTGCTCAAGCTATCTGCCCACAAGTCTTTCAAGAAGAAAACGGCCAGAGTTTGAGATAATGAGGCAATGGGACTTACAGCATCGTCATGGTTTTCCTTGGCTCACACAGCAATACTGATAATTTCCGAGTCTTCGTCAGCATCCTATTAATACATTTCATCAGTGGCAGCAAATGCTGCTATAGCAGAAATGCTCAGAGATTGCTACATGATCAGAGACACATAAGTGTTCAATAAATATTAGAGAATGAGGTTTCCAGTGGTGATGATGGCTATTCTCAGTGGCTTAAGGCACATGCTTCAGTAGATCTGTTGCCTTAACTATCATTCCAAAGTAGCATTCTGCACACAAATGACAAAATAAAATAAAAATGTGATTGTTCTAATTCCCAGAGGTTTCCTATGCAGATTTTGTATCTTCTTGTTCTGACTGTGATTGAAGCATTGCAAACAAGCACCAGACAGCTAAAGAGGGGCGTAAGATGTTGGTAACTATTGCAGGTTAGAATGTGCCAAAGGAGATTATGCTAGAGACAAATAGCAAGAATTCTGTTAGGAGCTGTGTCTATGAGATTTTTTTTTTTCTAGCATGAGACTATGGCATAAGTGGAATTTGTTTTTTTTCTACCTGTGGGGCTATAAGTGGGGTGTGATAGACTGAGAGAGTAGTGTGGAGCATAGTGAGGTAGAGAATCAGTCAATGAAGATTGCAGAGGTGAACTTCAGTGGATGAACTACTTTAATTTTCTTACTTGGGTTGATTGGTGATGTTGATAGAAGTAGGAGCAGCAATAATAACAAAACTAGTAGTAAAAGAGTTTACATTTATTGACATTTACAATGTGCTAGGGTGCTGTAATAATTGTTTAACATGTATTATTCAATTTAATGTCCACAACAACCAACCCCATGAGATAATTGCTCTTATACAGCAAGGAAGCTGAGGTTTAAAGTTCATTAAATTGCCAAGGCCACACAGCTTGTTAACTATGGCTATTTGAACTGGAATCTGGAATTGGACTGTGTAAGTTCAAGTGATATAAATAATGATAGACCATCATTTCCAGATAGAAATAAATACAATGTGAAAATGGCAAAAAAACATCATATTTCTCTCCAGTTGTCTTTGTTTTAATTTGCTTTATTTTGATCAAGAATCAGCCAATATGACCTATGGGCAAAGTTTGGCTTGCTGCTTGCTTTTCCTATGGTCTGGAACTAAGAATGTTTTTACATTTTTAAATGGTTGGGAAAAATATCCAAAGAAGAATATATTGTGACACATGAAAATGACATGCAATTCAAATTTCAGTGTCCATAAATAAAAATTTTTTGGAACACAGCAAAGCCCATTAGTTTAAGTATTGTCTTTAACTGCTTTTGGTTTACAACGGCAAGTTGAGTAGTTGTGACAGATACTACATGGCCGGCAAAGCCTAAAACAGTTAACATCTGGCTCATAGAAAAAGCTTGCCAACCATTCATTGCTTTTGTTTTTTTCAGAGTAAAGTAGTTTAGAAGGGTTTTAACTTGGACCTGCTGGGTTTCTGTTTCCCTTATTTGCTACATTAGTTGGGAAAAGACCACTGAATCTTCTTTTACCTCAGCTTCCATATCTGTACATGGGGTTAATGCTACTAACCTCAAAGGATTTTTAAAAGATATTAAATGACACATTTGATGAGGGAGTTTATAAGGAACTCTCACCCAGAGTAAGTGCTCAAACAAATGTTGGCTATAACTATCACACTAGCAAGTTTTCCCTATCGCTGTCTAACATGTGGTAGCCCTATCACTGATTAGTTAAATTAGGAGGATGAATCTCATCTCACCACTTCTCCTTGACCTACGTTATTTCTTTCCTTATCAGCACTGGAAAGGCTCCCTGGACTTCTCTTGCCTCAGGTTAGAATAGGGGAGTGTAAGGGCAGGAATGGCCACTGAGCAGGTTTCTAGGATCCAGCAGACCGGGTAAAGGAGGAGTCAGAGCCCTCCGTGGTTTTGCAGGCTTTTATTGGGATTGCCAGGTACACAGCAGGCAGAGGTGCTGGGGGGCCGGGAGGTTGGCAGGCCTCCCAGCCCCCAGCAAGTCTTCACTCTATCTGGGCTCTCCGGCGTCTCTCTCTCTCTCTCTCTCTCTCTCTCTCTCTCTCTCTCTGCTTCTGCTGCTTCTTTCTTGGCTTCTCCTTTGGCTTCTGTTCTTCTCGGCTTCTGCTGGCATCCCCATGACGCCACCCTTAAAAAAGCTCAGTCTCAGCCCAGGTGAATCCCATCTACGTATGCCCACACCCTACTCCAGGTGCCCACCATCAGGCATGCATTCAGGACCGCAGATCCATCATCTCTCCTGATGGCAGGAGGGCAGAAAAGCCTGATACATTTTTCCTTACCCTACAGGGAGGCACAGATAACATCTATACCTCCCATATCTTCCATTATAGGAGCTGGCTCTGTTTTCACTGCCTTTGGTCTACAGCTCCCTGTAGCTGTTTGGACAAATTCTTGTGGATTTGGAGACTGTTTCAGTTAAGTTTCATTGCTTAACTGTGTTCACGATCCCAAAAGGCAAGGAGGGTTAGGAGGCGTTACTTGGGTCTACAAATAATACTGAAGGAAATGGGCTTTCTTATGGGGTTGGCTGGGGGGGGAGGTAGCTTTTTCTATGATGTGACTTTTAGGGGCTCCCCATATCAGCTCTACTGATTGTCATTTTACTGACATATCAATTCTTTATTTGGCCAACAGATAGTGTATATGAGGGCTTGTGGGGGATGGAGGGGAAGGGACACCAAGAAGAAAGAAAAGGATACAGCACCAAAACACAGCATTGCCTTTTCTGGAGTGTTGCTGAGGACCAACTCTAGTAATGACTGTAGTACGACATGAAGAGAATGTGCATGGAAATGTTAGCAGTAAAGATAATTCCTCCTTAGAGCAACTGAGGCAGGATCTTTCTAAAGAGTTAAGGATCTGACTCTTAAGCAAAATAAGCACCTGACAAGACTATTCAAAACAGGTCTTTACTAACTAATTACTCACTGTAACTGGACTTCTCTTTATCACAAAACAGTAGTGAAACGTTCTAGTGTCTGAGTAACAATTGAGATGCAATAACATGCTTCAAGTCACACAGAGAGCTACTACTCACCCACGTCAGATTAAATGCAGAACCCATGCACTTCCTGTGAGTACTTCTGCGGTTCTAAGATTCATTGATTCTATACTCAGATGGCGTAACAGAGCTTAATAATGTAAGCTATGTTAATTACTTTAGTAATCAATAAGGTAGCCCACTATCACTTGAATATTTTGTATGAAGTATTTGCATTACCTTTTTTCTTAAATTAAGAAGTTAAATTGTGAAGTCAAATTTCATGTATTGGTTAGCATCAAGCTACAGTACTTTTAGGACTGAGTTTCTAGTTATTTTTCCCTGTCGCCACGTACTCAGTAGAAAAGCTATAGACATTTTATTTATCTTTTTCCTGTGAATGCCAAATGAGTGAACTTTACATGAGTTTGTAAACTCAGAGATGAGTGTGTGTGGCCATATGGAACATGTGATTGAATGTTGGTGGAGGTGGGAGTGGGAAAGGGTAAAATATAATTAATTGTTACCAGAGGGAAAAGTTGAACTGGGTGGAGGTTCAGAATGAGTCACCTGGATCTTTGACTCAAGTGACTTAATGAGTTTCTGCAACGCCTTCTGATAAAAGTTTGGCCAAGGAGATGGTATTTTGCTCAGGGTGTAACCACTCCAAGGCTTGATTACTATTTAGAAGCTGTGACTGCCATTTTGCAAAATGATGATTCAAAGATTGAAAAGTAAAAGTGAATGGCTCACCTTAACTGGATTGCTGATTTAGAATTCCAAACGGCCCAAGTATTAGCTGATTAACCTACCAAGAATAAAAAAAAAAAAAGTGATTTAGAAATACCCTGGAGCTAAAGTGTGTTTTAAAAGTGGAGCAAAACATCCCACAAAGCAGAAAAACAGATCAAAGTAGAGGAAACAAGCCTGTTTTAGAAAATCATCCAACCCAAACAACAGAAAACAGGAGATGGCAATAATGGACTTGCCTTCCAGTGAAAATAATGGGTTCAACAGGCATTTGTGAGTCCAGAAAGGGATGTTTTAAATCATGGTGCATCTTGTTGGACTTGTTATCACATATTTAGTGGATAGAACTTGGGTGATATCTCCTGCTGCTAATTTTAAACTAGTTAAAAACATATCTAATTCCATTTGGTAAATGACCAAAAGAAGAAAATGGGGTGGTCCAATCAGAGATCAGAGGTGTCTTTCTAATGTAAAACATTGTATTAAGCCTTTTAAAAGTTCTAATGATTTGCAATTGAAAAATAGAGTTCAGACTTATCACGCCAGGTAGATCGTTTGGAAACTGGTGAGATTGCTAGTGTTCTTGCTTTGTATCTTTGCAAAACTTCTTTTAGATTCTCTATGGTTTAATCACTCTTGGATACTGAGCCTTCCCAGACCACCACAAGTGTTCTTAGATTTCTGGTCTTTGTACACAACATAACATTACTACCTGGAATATAATGCCCTTATTTTTTCCTACCTCAGAAACTACTACTTTTCTTCAGAATCCAGATCTCAATCCTTCCAGTTTGTGTTTTGACTGCATTTCTTCCTATATCCATTCCACAATTTTAAAAAACATTTTTGTGGTTATATAACAATAGATATACATCAAAATATATTCAACTTTTTTTTTTTTTTTCTGTTAGGGAGTTGCCAATTTTTTTCTTTTGTAAAGATATCACAATAATCAGCCTTGCCCAAAAATCCCTCTAAGCATTTTGGATACTTTCTTAGGAAAAAAAAAAATAAGTAAAAAGACTGGATTGTAGAGTTTTAATACTTTCTTACCCTTGGTTCACATGCCAAATTGCTCCTATCATTTTTACCCTCTTTCCTTCTTTTTTTTTTTTTTTTAGATGTATTTATTTATTTATACAAGAACCAGGGTACATGCCAAATACGCAGGAGGAGGAGAGGATTCACCAGAGACAGAGCGGGGAACAGAACAGGCAGACTGACGAAATACACTGCTGAGGGGAGCAGCAGGCGAGACAGGAGAGGTCTGTCACACCATGTGGGACCCTTGCTGGCTGGCTGGGATCAAACCTGTGCTGCAGAGGCTGCGGACAGCTTCACAGGGCTGCGCTCAACCGCCTGGGCCACCAGGGGAGGCCCATTTACTCTCTTTTAAAACATGTTTTAAACACATTAAAAGTATTTTTGTCTATTAAGTCATAGGAATGGCTTGGCTGCCAGTGTTGCGTGAGATTGAAAGGAGAAAGATTCAAAATGATGCATGATTTATAGGAGCATAGGAGGTGAACATTGGAAGGGGTGATGGCAAATTCTAGATAGTGAATATACAAAATCAGGGTTAATAGAAGATTTAGGAAGAAAAATGCTTGCCCAAGAGGTTCAAGGCTGATATGGAGAGACACTATAGACGCATGCCTCAACCTCATAGTACTTATTGACATTTAATAAACATATTAAGAAGGGATGTAGAGTAAGGAACAAATGGAACAAATTGATTTTAAATACTTCCTGAAATCAACATGATTCATAATACCCAACAGAGCAGAAGAGATGGATTATTTTGGGAAGAAGAAAAGCATGCACAGAGGAAAGAAGAGCATGTTTGTTTATTTATTTAGATATTTAGATACTAAGATGGTTCTGGTGTGTGTGTGTGTGTGTGTGTGTGTGTGTGTGTGTATGTGTGCAAGAATAACTGAGACAACTGGTGAAAAACAGTCCTGTTATGAAGGTGGTTTCATGTTACTAGGGACAACTGGGAGACATTGACATCTAAGTTGGGGCTTGAGGAAAGAAAGGGATGATTGGGTGAGGGAAGCCCTGGATGCATGTGAAGGAGTTGACATGTGATTCATTTTACATCTTCTTTGCAGATGGAAATGGGGAGCCAATGAAAGATTGTAACGCAAGGGTTGGCAGGATTAAGTTGGCATCATGAAGGGATTATTCTGGTTACGGGATGGACAACAGATGGGGAGGAGGCAAAAATAGCATGAGGAATACAGTCGAAGACTGTGGCCACAATTTAAGAATGAATGGGTTAAAACCCATGATCTTAGGCAAGGTGCCGTAAGGAAGTACATGAACTGAAGAGAAGGAAAGAAGACAGAATTAGCAGAAACTGGTAAATCTTAAGGAAGAGTGATGCCAAGGATGACTTCCAGATTTCTGGTTTTGGTCAACCATGCACATGGTCATGCACATCCTGAGATAAACAGCAGAGAAAGAGCTGCAGTTTAAAAAGAGATGGCAAGTTTAGTTTTGGCTTTCTTAATTTTGGGATTGCTGTGGGACATCCAAATGGAAATGTCTCAAAGGAAGTTAGCAATGAAGCAATGATAAATAAAGATCTGGACTTACAAATAAGAAGCATGTTTGCTTTTTTTCTTTGAAGATTTATTTATTTATGCATACAAGAACTGGAGTATAGGCCAGAGGTGTCGGGGGTGAGAGGATTCAGCAGAGACAGAGTGGGGAACAGAACAGGCAGACTGACTGAAATACACTGCTGAGGGGAGCAGCAGGTGAGTCAAGAAAGGTCTGCTGTGCCATGTGGGTAGCTCCCTGGCTGGGGATCAAACTCATGCTGCAGTGGCTGCAGATAGCTTCATAGGTTGCATCTTAACCCCTTGGCCACTAGGGAGGTCCCAAGAAGAGGCTTGTTTTTGAGGACTGGGAGAATATTGGAAGAGTTGAAAGAGATGGGGATGTTATTTGTGTTCATGTAAAGAACTGTAGGGAGGAAAACTGGTATTTTCAGTATGTTGTTTTAAATACATTAGAATCAGATCTATTTAGAAGAAGTAGAGTTCATTAGCTCAAAGCTGCTAACTTCAACAATGAAGCCATCTCATTTTGGTGCTGTCATTAATTTCATTTTAATTTTAATCATTAACTTCTAGATAACTTCAAACTTTCATCTGGAAAGTGAGAATAACAATCCAATTTACAGCAGTATTTTGAATTTTATTATAATATACTTAAATTTAATACCAGTATTGATAATTTTAGAAACTCTTCACTACATTTGGTAATTTCTAAAGGCAGTGCTCCTTTTGCCTAACAATGGACATTCAGCTTTGTAAGATACTTAGTATTTTACATACACTTTTAAAGACATGACATCATTTGAGTTTCATAGTAATCTAGTAAAATAGGTAAGAGTTTTTATTCCTTCAAATTTAAGATGAGAAAACAAGCTAAAGGAGGAGAAATGACTTTTCCAAGATAAGTCATATTCCAGCAAGTGTCAGATTCAGAAATCTATTTCAGGTGTCTAGGCTACAAATATGATTACAATTTTTACAACTATTCCCTAACAGTCTGTTGTTCAATATTTGTATTCAGATTAGATAATTTAATTAAATTGGCTAAACTATTCATGTTTGCTAGTATATTCAACAGAAGCCATATACAAGGTATTGTATAAGGCATAGGACAGACATAAAGACAAATATTCAATGCAAATATACCTAAGGCATATAAATAGAAGTGTCTGGTTAATTAAGGAATAGTAATAAAAATACAAAATGATAGCAATTATTCAAGAGATTTTGCAATGTGTGGAATGAATGACCAGAAGGGTTCTGAGAGGCAGTCATTTGCAAAAATTTCATGGAGGAAGAATGACATATTATCCTTGGGGATGAGCAAAGAGAAATATGAAAATGTCTCATATGGGGTTACAGGGTGGACAAAGGGAAAGAGAAGGGAAGGTAAAGATACACCTGGTTCTCTATAGGCCAGGATGACAGGTTTATGCAATGAAACCTGGGTTGAAAATCTTATAAAGGTCAAGGGGGCCAGATGTTGGAGAACTTTGAAATCAATCCAAGGGAGTCACTCAAATCTGATTTTCTTCCCAAATTATTCTATCAATATAGTTTAAATAATAGATGATTAGTTCATTGAAAAAATTTTGAAATTCCATTGCAGTGGTAAATCAGTTTGGTCAAATTTATCATTTTTATGCATTTTCCTAATCACAGTTTGGGAAAACCTTCAGGCTGTGGCAGAGGGCAATTGCATTTACACAACGAAGTTCAACGCAAAATTTATGTGCTATTTTCTGTTAAATTCCTCAGGTTTTCAAAAAGCAATTTACTGAGGGTCTTTGGAAACTTATTTGCTAATGTGGACACACCCTTCAGGCTTCTCTTGAAATTTTTCCTGAGAGTTTCCTGGAGACTGATTCTTGTTCCACTCACTGGGATCAAGTGCTAACTCCTTAAAATGATAGTTTTTTTTTTTCCACAAGAAAAAGCAAATGTCAAAAGTTGACCATAAATTCAGACAGTTTAGCAAGTCTTTGACATATAGTCATAGAAGATGATCATATCTGTCATTGTAAGTCACTTGTTTAAAACCAACAACCAACCAATCAGTATTTAATGAAGCTAACCCTTTATTAATGATGCTACTTTTAAATCTTACTGAATCCACTATCAGGAAAAGATGACAAAAAATACTGTACTGATAGTTCCAGTTTCTATTAATGTCTGACAAATTATATAGCCAGTAGACATCTTTGGATTATCTCTTGGCGATATCAATGATATTACAACATAAGGATGGCTTAGCATGTACAGTGACAAGAAGCTAAAAGCTTCTGTACTGTCATATAATTATGTAATGTTCAAGTTGTGCCAAAAACTCCTAATCCTGATGAATGAGTTCTGAGCAGTGAAAAGGAAAATGCATTATCTGCACCAGTGTTGGCTCTGAGAAATGCCTTTTAAGAACATGTTGGAGCTATGTGACTGGATCACATTTTGGAATGGAGAATATTACTAACTGTAGAGGAAACTGAGTCAATGA